TGGTTCATTTAAGATCTTGAGTATATGAGAAGAATATTTCTAATTTTGAACAGGGACTGAACCAATTCCAACTTGAAATCACATTCCATACTGCTGCACTTTAGTTCCAGATTAGCCCAGAACACTGAGGAAACCTAAAGACTGCAGATGAGAAAATGGGCTGGGAAGCAATGCCAAGATCAGCAAATCACCTCAATTCCCCCTGCTCTACACCACCTGCCAGTTACAATCCCGCCTATAATTTTTAAAACACTTTTGACAGATGCAAATTTTGAGGGAATACGAACCCTGATTCAGTAAAGCATCTGGGAATGCACTCGAATTCCATTTTAGTTAATACTAATGTACATTACAGAAGTGGGTCCTTTGTATATAAGAAGGGTTTATCCCTAAGACCTTTACAATATTCTTACTTGCATTTTATGTTTCACTCAATTCTATTAGACTTCAAGCAAATATTAATTAGAAAACAGTCACACAGACACAAACATACACTCCCTGGAGGAAAAAAGGATTTTTTTCAATAATCATATTTTGAAAAATGCAGATAGCTCACAAAGGCTGTTTGGGGTCTGTTTGGAAAATATCACACATAATGGTGTTGACAAACATAGCTTGGCTTGCCAACACATCAGGAGACTGAAATTATTGAGTCTTCAGAATATGGGTATTATTTATGCCTTTCTGTCGGCATGGCACAGAAGAAAAAACACAGAACAGAGGTAGCAAGATCTTTTAAATCTGAGGGATCCCAACCAAGACATCTACACTACTACTTATGACTCTAAAACATAGTGATATTTTACATGGATGTGGCCAAGTACCCCTCAGGAAAATATTCAGAGAAAAGTTCCTTGTGTAATATTGGTAGAATACCAAGGTAAACCAAAGTAATTTTGCTTCCATGACACTGCACAATGAAAAATAGTCAAAAATTCTGTGCAACTAAAATTCTTTCTAAAGCTATTTCCAGCTTTCAAGCTAGTTTGCTGAGTTTGCTGAGTACTTCTTATTATTATTATTCCAAAAGCTAATTAAATAATACCTAATACATATTGTGTGAAAGTTCATTTGCAACCAAGCTGTGAAGAGTCTCTGAATCTTATAATTTCATCTAAAATGATTGTACTAATTTCACATCAATAAAAATTTTAAATACCAAATAGCTCTTTAAAAATTGAAGGAATATATTTCCGTGCTAGACTGTCTTATATCTCATACATACGCAGCCAAACTGCTCCTTTTACAAGCAGGACAAAAGATGTTATTACTCTTAAGCAGATATTCTGGCAAAATGGGACATTTTAAAGCAAGCTATCAAGGGTTTGCAAATGCCCTAAATTCCAGCCGTGATGTGTATGTCCACCCACACACCTGCTATTAACTTTGATTTCCCATTTGCTGACATACATTTCACTTCTAAAATAATTTATCAGGACCCAAAACTAATCTACTGATTTCCAGTTTTTGGTTCCTTTTTAACCAAATTTTTCCATTTCATCTTTGGTCACGACTTTCAGAAAAGATGTGATTCACAGCTTTACACCTTTTTAATATTGTCACATATTTAGAGAAATCTTAGAAAAATGTAATTGTGTTTATAAGTCATTATGGTTTTTCCTGTTTGGGCTATATTTGACATGCATTATTGTAATTGCACTTGTAAACCAGGCCCAGCACAATATAAGAAACAAGTCTGGAAGCACAACTGCTGGTGCCTCTTTTTCTCTGCAATGGCCAAAAGTTAGACTGATGACTCTCTGGGCTTTTTGCCAACACCACACACCAGATTAAAATAGAAAGAAGGGAACTAGACAACCTGGGGTCCAAAATTTAATTCTGACCTTATGTCTAAGCTCTATGGGAGGCTTGGGCAAAGTCAAATGCTAATCTACCATATAAGGGGGGGCACCACAAGAAAACTAGAAAAAAATCTAACCAGAAAAATGTATTTTTTATCGTGTGCACATTTTGGCATTTTGAAACCATTGATCCTGAAAAATAATCAAATCTTCATGTATAAACATTATGTTATTCTCAGAAAGTAATATTTAATGTACAGTGTTGTTACATGTTCACAGCCCACTTTCTTTCAGCATGAGATAAACTATATTTTTTATGGCTTTAACCCACTTTATTCAAAGTAGATTTTTCTGTTTCACAGACTTGTGGGTTTATGGATCTTATTAACTCTGAAATATGGACAGCATATTAGAAAGTAGATTTGAAAGGGAAGGCTGAAGCGCTCTCTTAATTCCATCAGAATGGGCTCTATTTATATTTCCTCTCATATTTCATAGTGGAAGTTAAGTATTCTGCTAGAACATATTTGCTAATTGACTTTTTTTTAAAACAAATTAGTGTTCTTCAAAGAAATATTTACAATAAATAAACATTTTTTTTCTACATTTAAATAATACTATAAAGGTAAGTCCAATATTGCAAATAAGAAAATATCTTCATAAAATTTTGCAGATGCTGACTAATTTTCCATTTTCTTTGGAAGCTCTGTGATTTAGCTGTTTCTAGGGATTGCTTTTAACTTTTCAATGGAGAACAAAAACTATGGTAAACAGATTAAACTCTATTCCTGATTTCTTACTGTAAACTCCATTTATTATTCAACAACATGTTAGTGTAAGTCATTGCACTTGGATCCTTTGATTTTAAACACAAATATATAGAAAATTAAGCTGTTAAATACCTATTGATACCTTATTCACTAACTATTACAATAACTCAATAACTATTGAGCATAACTCAAGTTTGTAAAATGCCTAAATAAACACAGTAATGAATAAAAACTGTTTAAGCTATTCTGAGAAAGGATCTTGAAAATTAGATGCATGAATGGTAATTCTCAGAAATCTTGCTTTACTGATCATTATTCTTATAATATTTGGATAATATATTCTATTTATTTAGTCCCCTGCCCTTTCAAGAGAGAATTCCCAGGACATCATTAAGTTCTCTATTCTTGATACAGCTTGACAGGACACAGATACACATACCACTGAGAAACAGCAACTTTTTTTCCACAGGGAAATTCAGGTCATGAAAACACAGGAAAAGAGGTTCATTTGAAGGCAATGAGGGAAAGAGTTTTTAAACTCTTATTTACGTATTCACAACCTCAGAAGAGGAAGAGACCAAAATCTTTCCTTGCTATTCCCTTCAGAAGGATTTATTCTGGCTCAAACTATTACCAAAGGCACCACCATGAATTTTGATAGAATAAGACAAGGAGATGATCCACAAAGTGGCCTGATACAAAAAATTTCAGCTGTGTTACATGGATAGAAACCAACCATTGTGTTGGTTTCTAGCACAGCAGAAGGCATTTTGGGACAGTGCATGAAGTGCTTATATAAGCAGCAGAATGACATAACTTTGGAAAGGAGTTGCCAACGGCAGAAGTCAATTCCAACAACATTCTGTCCATTTCATAAAGTGATACATGACTGTGTACGACCAGCTTCACACTTCCTGCACTTCTGTGTGCACAGCTGATCTGCCATAAGCTTTGTGAGTAAATTACAAAATCTTATGAACAACTTTCAATCAGCACAATGCTGATAAGTAGCATATGTTGATAAATGTTATGCGTTTGGATGCAGATTTGTATTTCCAAAGAGCCACAACACAAATGAATCAAACAAAGACCTCTAATTCAAGCTGAATAAACTCTGAAGCATTTTAGAAACTTATGAACAATCCCTGTAAATGCATCTATAAACAAGTTGTTTCAACACTTCCTGCTTGGGCTTGATTTCTTTTATGCTGTTGCTGAATGACTGCCATGCAGACTTGAGTACTTATCCTCCCAATGCTGAGTGCAACACCATGTGCAGTAATGTATCTGACAGAAATAAATCCTACATTTCTGCTGTGTTCCATTTGCCTTCATTTCATTGCTTCTTTTTTGTTACACAGTCAGCTACAAATCAAATTTGTGATAACCTTGAAGAAACCTGTAGGAGCCTGGACTTCATCTGTTATAAGGAATCAAATAATGGAACTGGAATAACACTGGTTTTGTTATTTTGGTACTTGTGCACTAGAAACAAGTGGTTAGTAATAGGAGCATTACCTTGAGATCAACAAAAAAGTACCTTCAAAATTCTCTCATGGACTGTACAAAGAAACATAGGGAATTTATTGGAAATACAAGCAAGATTTACAGAATAAAGATATGTTAAGGTTCTAACCATTTCTAACCCTTTCCTACTTACTTTTATGTAAACCCACAACTCAAATAGGAATTGACATGTGGAGTCTGTGCTACACAGACATTGCTAATACTTTGATTGTAATTTCAGGCTATGAAATCAAAAATACTCTGGCATAATTTCATATGCAGGGAGAACTTTTTAAATGGTTCTTCTGCAACAACCATCTAGGAACCTTCAATCCGCACATGGAAAGGCAGAAGATGAGAAAGGAAAAAACCAGATTTGCGTGGAGTATATATAAAATATTTAAAAGATCTTCCAAATAGTTACAGAACAGTGCGATTCAAATGGTTTTCACTGAAGTGAGTCACATTAGGTAACTTTTTTCTGGTTAGGTTTATATTGTTTATATTCTCCCTCAAGCAGTAATACCAAAATTTCATTTAATCTAGAGATTTTCATACAACTCACGTCCAAAACCAAAATCCTCCTCAGTTAAAAAAAATGAAGCAATGTTGTATGCCAGGATTCACGTTACCGATTTTTCATCACATGGAAGTCTGGAAGCTAAGGAATGAAGAAATCTGAGAATAATTTCCTCACTCTAGGACTGCAACCACTACAAAATGTCCCTTCCATTTTAATTTTTTGTATGATTAACAAATATAAGTATTCACACAAAATGCAGCACATGAAAAGCCTACATATTTACCTTGACCCTTAGCTCCTATATCTGTAAAAAACCTAATGTAGAATGATTTACCCCCAAAACATTCATCACAATGTTTCCATGAGTATTTCACGCTACACAATTATTCCAGTCCATACCTGCAGGCCTGTCAGTTGAGCTGCTGATTTCCCTTTGAGGCAGAGAATGAGTGCCAGAAATGCATTTAAGTCCTCCAGAGAGAGGCTACTGACCTAAAACAGATGAAAAAATGACACATTATCTGAAGGCTCTGAAGAGGACCTTTCTGAAAATTGAATCGTCTTGCTCAAGCACATCAAACTTGGAACAGTGACCTCACATAATGATCACCACAATGAATGCATCACGTAGGAAAGCTCACAGGGAACAAAATACTTTCTTTCACAGCTTGAATGACATACATACCCCAATGCTTGTGTATAGTGTATACACGTGGATTTCCACACACCAAACAAAATGCCCACCCTTCATTTTTCCTTTCTCCACTTCCCTCGGAGTTTATTAATAACAGGAAATTTCTCCTTCTCTGTTACATCAAGCATAGTTTAAAAAAAAAGAAGACTTTAAAAAAAATTTCTTTATAATCAAGACATAGGACAAAAACCACCTCAATGAGCCACACATATGATGACCATCAGGAATTTTAAGAATTGCTTACACATTTTTCTGTTAGAAATGTCAAAATATTCTAAAATATTTCAGTTACCTATTTTAACCTAAATTTCAGGATTTATCAAAACATATTTAATTTCTTTCCACTTTTAAGGCTACATATGGAAGCAGGGAAAACTAAAACCTAAAATGTTCAAGTGGGGAAAAGGAAATGACAAGTCTATATTGACGTAACAGTTCACTTCTATCAGTAAAGGGGGAATGGACACTTCTGCTGTGAAAAAGTGTTGAGATGTTGCAGAGGCACATGATCAGCTTAGAAGAAAAACAGCACCTTGAGAGCAGCTGGCATGACTCCGTGACAGTACCAGTCGAGTTCTACTCCTTTCCTTCCTCTTAGAAAACACTGTATATTACACAAGGGCACCAAGACCACATCTGTAACAGCACTCGAAGATATACAGAGAGCTCCAAGGTGAGATCCACAGAGCATTACAATTCCTTATCAATTGGAACTTGAGGAAGGTTTCTCTTGCAAAATGTGGAAATGTGCATTGTGGGTGTACAGAACACTTAAGAGGCTGCCAAAAACTCTGCATTGCCTTTCTTTTCATAGGATAAAAATCATTCAATGACGATTCAGATTTTTTTTTTCTTTTGGTAAATCAAGCCTCACTGCTTGTCCCACTGTAAAATACTTTCTCCTCTATGATACCGTTAAATCTTGCATAAGGTGCAAGAATGTGGGAGATATCAGAAACATTTTAAGCTTTCAAAATGCTCCTTGGTATTCATTATCTCCACCTGTCTGCCAAGATCTGATAATGGCCCTACTTTACCCTGTAATTCAAGTCAGGTGTCACCTTTGTGTAGATGGCAACAGGAGGGGTTTACTAAACCTGTACATTTCATACATTGAAGTAACAGAAAAAGTTACTTTTATCTATAAACAGTTCTTAATACCTGCACAATTTTGTCCTAAGAAAAGGAAATCAAAGATTGCTTGCAAGGACAACAGCAAGAAAATTTCCCTAACAGAGCAGATCACCCAAAAATGCTTATGAATGTCAAAACACTTCTTCAGAGAAATATTTTATTCAGTGATCAAACTTGGTGAGTTATCACAGTTCCACTGTCACATTAAATCCAAAACTGCTGGAGATTGAAAGAGAAAATTCCCCTTTGTCTGTTTGATTTGAACTCATTCACTGTTTTGCCAACTTTAAAGACAGATCTAATATTTTGTAATTTTTTCACTATTTTTGTTCTTAATTTAAGAGAACATTTAAAAGGTACCCTTGAAAAAAACATTTTACATATCAACACTTTTTTTACATAGTTAACGTTTATTAATTGGAATTTTTTTCTTACTTTAAAAAAATGCATCTAAAGTTTTCATTACATACTTGCACATACATTCTGAGGAAGCCAGATGGGTTGGTTAGTATGCTGGTTCCTGCAACACCCTCATTTTTAGCTTAGATTCAGTTCTAAGTAATGAAATTTTTAAGAATTTTATTTTCCCTCATATGAGCTGAAGGACTTCAGGCCTGCTTCAAGGCAACCTATAATTTTCTCAGCTTAAATAATTTCTGAGGAAACAATTCACCTTCCTTCTCTAATAAAAGTTTAAGACCAAAGTGTAAAGACACGAGTCAGAACACAGCTAGACAAGCCTTGTTTTCTCAGCTATAAAACAAATGGAAGCAATATGGCCAGCTCAAAGCATGGCTACTGACACTCTTGCCCTCATGTTTTCCTCTCAAACATCCCAAGAGAACAATCAGACAATATCAGAGAAATAACCAAAGTTTAAAATAACTCAGCAATGAAAAACATTTTACCCCAAATCAATTCCCCAGTGTGGTTCCCAGGGTAGACTGTATCACTGCAACTCCGAGGACAGAAGAGAATCAGGAAAATGGGGCAGTTCTTGAGAAACTGGCACTGCCATGAAAAACCTTCCATCAAACTGAGCCCTTTGTGTGATCTCTCTGCTCTTACTCCTGTTGAAAGCAAGAGCTGTAAATCTGATTTTGTCTCTGTTTACAAGTGGCCATTGGATAATAAGTTCTGAAAACCATTTTTCTGACAAGTATTTTTTTTCTATTTTATTAGTATCCTGTGATCAAGGTTCAGTAAATCCACATCTCTGTAGGTGTTTCATCCTGTTAGTCCTCTTCTTAATCCCATTAAAGAAACCCTTCTCAAATAATTCAGTTATTGTGCTATGAAAGGATGCACAGAATAAGTCAATAAATAAGTGAAATATTGATAAATTAAACTGCATTTTTATATTCTAATAGGAAAAACACTTCAAGTATGTTAAAAGGTATTGCTGACTTGAAACTGCAAAGCATGAAATGATGTTTAATAAGTATTATCTGCAAAAAAAAAATCAATTTGTATTCTGTTATACAAATATTAAAGAAATAAAAAAGACCCATACAGATTTGTGTAATTCCCATATGTACTTCCTCAATATGTCATCTAAGTTTGAGTAAACATATGAAGGGAAATTAAAGGAAAATTCAGGGAGAACTTGTTTTCATGTATCACACACCAGTACAAATCTGTTACTGAGGAAATTGAAGTCTAAAAAAGCAAAACAAAAGACAAAATGCAGTTCAGTTTAAGCACAAGTGAAACCTAGCTTATCAGATTAGATAAATGCATCATTTGCTCATCCTCAGAGAGGAAAATCTGCTTCTGAGATCACCACTGAAATGTGGCAAGTACAGACAATATATTAAATACCTAAGAGAAAAGTAAATAATGAAGCAATGTTGTATTTAATCTTGTGTCCCTTTTTATTGCAATTAAGGTAGTCTGCAGAATGCCAAGTATTTGGAATTATAACAGAAGTGCTACCTAATGATCCCCTATTATTTAGAATTTAATGAGAAGAGCCATATCCTCAATTCTGGCTTGAAAATTAGTAGACTGACAAGAAGGCATGAAAAAGTAGTGAGAGCTGACTAAATATTTATATTGTCTGTTTGCACAGTCTGCCTAGTCACCTGAGAGAATGTCTCCTTTTGATGACACAAAGGAAAGACAAAAGGAGCTACTTTAATTTGCAAACAGGTCCCAAAGAGCAGGGGAAATCCCTCAGTTTATACTCTCTCTGCTAGACTGCCCAAGGGGCTGTGTCATGGGCACGTGAGAGTTATGATTAGCTCCTAAAAACCCCAAGTATTTCTTGAACAGGATGGTGCACGCTAAGTGGAATAATTAAAAATACTGTAATGCAGTACTATTATATTTGATCAGCTATGCCTACAGTAAGGATTAAGAGGAATGCCCAGCACAGGCTAGCAAAAACCACTTTCCTTCACACTTACCAGGACTGACAGCCCTGACTGAGGAAAAAGCAACTGTCCCTCTTACCTGCATCATAAGATAGGCCAGCAAGCAGCAGAATCCTGCAACAGGTGCTTCCAGAGCCTGGAGTTCTTCCATCCCATCTTGAAGGTGAAAGCATGCCAGAAATGTACTATAGCGCTGCTTCTCCACGTCAGGCCCTTTGGCAAGCCACAGTGTTTTCAAATTAGGTGTTCCACCTACAAAAGAAATCCATTATTTTATTTTGGCAGCAACAAGATGAAACATGTCTACCTCATTACAATCTGAAAGGAAATGACTGCTCTGGCAGGAAAGGAAATGAAATGCTCTTGGCACTTGCCAGGACCACAGAGTCAAAAATAAAATGTATTTGACAAAACTTGTGATTGAAAAAAAAAAACCAACAACAAAAAAAAAGGCCTGTAATTTAAACCAAATTTATTGAATACAGGCATGTTAAAGCAGAGTGGACTGAATTCAGCACTTACAATAACAGACTCAACCTTGAGACAGCAAGCATTTAACCTACGCAAGGGCGAAGTTTGCCTGCAAGTGTGTTCTTTCCCTTGGGAATGCACAGCATTAAATGAGGCTCACTTCATCGTAAAACAGTGATTCAGCAGAGAACCACCAGCTCTGGTTTTCTCTTTCTCTGCTGGAGTTAACGTACCGGGGTCCCCAAAGGATGCTCACACTGTCTCCCTCATGATCACCTGTTTCAATGAACACCTAAGCCACTCGGTGGAGAGCAGGCATTCTCCACTACGCCTTGTGTGGGTTTGGCTCCTCTGCAGCATGTTCCAGTTTGGGAACAAAAACCAAGGCGATCTGGTATTTTTCATTTCCTAGGCTACTGTATGAAACACTGTTACAAACACACACAAAAGAACTGTCATCAGTTATGAATAATGGATCTTTCCAGACTCTCTCTAGTATCATTTATACTTGTCTCTAAATCCTTAATATTTACCCCATGCTGCCATCTCCCAGCTTGTGACACATGTGGGCTAATGCAAAATTTGCTCCTCATTTAAATTACATTTAATCTGTTATCAAAATAAACTGTAAGGCATGTGAAATAACAGAACAGAGAACTGGTTATGCCTGAGAATGTCAATAAAAGACAGAATCGTACCATAAAGTACGGCTGCTTCTGTAGTTAAATAAAATGAGGTGTGAATTTTAAATGTGGACTAATTAAGCTACATTTGGTAACACCTCTTCCTTTATTATGTGACACACAGCAGCTGCAGACCAGTTAGGAACACTTGGTGATAATAAATGGTTAAAGTGACAAGGTGCTGAAATCTACATAGATGATGTTTATTTAGCCAGGAAAGCCCATTAACCAAATGGTACTAATCCTTTGGAGAGGGGGAAACTAGAAGAAAAGTTAGTATTTTCTTTCCTTATCTCCCTGATGGATGTTTCCTTTGCTGTTTTCAAAGCTAACTCTCCTGACAGAAGTTTTAACCATAAAAAGAACTACTATCATAAAATCCCTAAGTTTCTAACCTTATTTCTAAGTTAAATGTATTATTAAGAAAAAAAAAAACCAAAAAAACAAACCCAGTTGCTTGCTTGAAGGTAGAAATGCAGAAAAGAGATAAAATAAATAGTGGCAGTGAGTGGGGTAGTACAGACAGCACAGCAAGACTCACATTACTGATTTTGATATTGGAAATTGCTGCCTTAAGTAAAAAAAAGAACAGTAGAGACTGACTTCTAGGAAGAAAATGAAATATAACACACACAAAACAAAACAAAAAAAAAGACAACTTTTGCTACCAAGCCTAAGCAACCCTGACTGCTGTACATGGGTAAACTTGAGTTTAAACTATTTGAGTTTACCCATGTACCCATGGTAAACTGAAATAGTTTTGATGGTTTCTGCACCATCAAAAGAGATGATACAATGAAGAGATGAAAAGAAGAGATATGCCAAGAATGAGTCAAAAGAAAAGTTCTGTTTTGCATCCAGGGGCATACTTAATAACAGAAATCCTTCTTTCTTCAAAGTAAAACCATTAACTTTGTCGATATTCAAGATTACAGATCTATATTGAGAGAACTCAACAAAAAATTCAAGACATCTCTTCCATAAACAGTTTCTTATACTTTCAGAAACATCTACTTGTGCCTGGGAATAAAAAGGTACAGATAAATTATGAGTTATTTACTCTGGGAAAAAAAACCTGATGCTCTCTCCTTTTGGAACACACCAACAAAAGGCACTTTTTTCTGAAGGGTTCTCTTCTTCAAGTAATAAAATTCCATGTAATACCTAAGACTAATCTATTAAATCAAATGAAAGATAAGTAAAACAAAGAAACAAATATCCTAAAGTTTAATGACTGTCCCATCATACATGTAGTCCACAGCAGATCTAAGATTCATCTACGGTAGACCCGCAAAATGTTCTCTGCTTTACATACATCCTCACTACATTATTTACAGTAATTAGAAAACATTTCTGAAATAGAAATTTACTTGGATAGGCAGGAGAAATATTATATTTTCTGAACATGTCTATACATTTACTAAATTAATCTGAAAACGAAAACTGAATAACAAAAGGAAAACACACCAAAACATATTTATATGTACCTAATTGAAACATCTTTACTATAAAGATTAGTAATGATAAAACTATCTGTTGGGGTTGTAGGAACCACAATCTCCCATGAATTACACAAACATATGCAAGCATAATTACTCTCAACACGCACAAAATTGTGTGAAAACCATATTCAGCACTATGTCAACTGCAGTCCTCAGGTACCTCAAGAAGAGGAGCTTTAAAAAGACCTCCATGGAAGTGAGATATTACTTGCCTAAACACAAAACCAGACAACACACAAGTTAAAAAAAAAAGCATGGACAAATCACTTTTTACCTTTTTTCTTTATACTCACACATTTAATACCATTATCATATAGAAAGCAGCATGAAAAACAAAAGCACTTCAAGGGACTACGTAAACATTTACTTCATCTGTCTGAATTTCAATAATCGATTTATAGATATGTAATACATGCAAAAGTTGTGGAATACATTAATTCTATTATATCATCTAACTCAACACTTAAACAAAGATGATTCTCACATTTGTAGCAACTTTAAACACACAATTACTGTGTATATAGATGTATAATAGTAAATGTTAATGTATATTTGAAGTAATGACTATTGAAATTTTATTTTATAACACCAGTAATAGAACTTCAATACTTCTTCATTTTGACATGCTCATGTAAAATACCAAGCAATGCCAAGCAATATAAATAAGTTTATAAAAATGTACTTGCTAGGAACATTCAACAGTAACGTCTGAACAACTGTGGCCAAAAAACTCAAATGCCAATTAAATCTGACCATTAAAGACAGAGACAGCATTTTGAACTTAAACATATTCATGACACATTAATGAAGGATGCAATGATTAGAATACCGAAAGTACATCCAAACTCTGGTATGAAGCTACAATATCCTATGCATTGTCAGAAATAAAATGAACAGCAGAATCTATACATTTTCAGCAAAGACTTTAGAACTTTTTCCGTTCCACATAAACTGCAGACATATCAAATATAGCTGCTATGTTCACAAGATATGGATGTCAAACAGTATTTTCCTAGATCATGGATCTTCTAAGAAAATTGATTTGCCAGTGACATTTTTTATCAATATAAGTGCTGCTCTGTCAATGTGTGGAAATCATGATCATATTCATTTAAGTGAAAAGAAACATTCTAGAAGGAAGAAAGAGACACAGACAATGCATGCAAGCACAGATGCTAATTCAGAAGACTGTTTCTCAAAAATAAAAAATATAGTTAATACATACTATATTATAAATATATTTTATCATCTTACTTACCATCCTGCCTTTAGGATTCAATATTTCATTTTTTAAAAAAGCTAACATTCAATCTATAACCTTTCCAGATGCAAGATACTTCTGCTGTTTTATACACACACAAAGTTAGTAGGAATTATACTTTTTTTTAATGATCAATGCAAAATTTAAAGTATTTATCATTATGTACACTATAGTTTAAAGTTCACAGTTTCTTTAGACTTTTTGATCTAAATCAAACTGGAAGAGAGACAGGATTTTCCATATATTCTCAGTACAGTTCTAAGGTAGTTTTGATGATCAGGTTATCATCTTTTTCCAAAAAAAAAAAAAAAAAATAGAGCCTTCCCAAATTAATTGCACTTTTGCACTTTCAGTGTTTCAAACAGGTTTTTGGTAAAATTCTTTTTTGTCTTTTTGAGTAACCTGATCTTGATTGGCAGCCTTGAACTCTAACTTCCTAAAACAACTTTAAATTTAGCTCTAAATATGATCCCTGTCTGAAAAATGTGATGTGCTGTTGAGAACCTTATTTGGTGAATTAGAAAGTCATGCTGTGGAAAATCAAAGATGCATGAGCGAATGTAAGGCATACAAATATGGACTGCAAAAATTTTAGAAAAATATTTGTCTGCTGAAGGAATGACAACAGAGCACTAAAAATAAACACTAAAAGTCCTCCTCCCGGTTTTTAATAGTCTGCTTGAACAGCCTTTCATTACTGAGTTAGTAAAGATCGTATCTGAGAAGATTCTGTTTTTATAAACTCCACTTATGTGGTTGCTATAAACAAACACACTTAAAATCCTGTTTATTGTCAACATGAAGGTGCGTTCTCTGTGTTGTATGTCTGCAGAGCTATAGAACCAGAGTACATGAGATTAAGTGGGTTCTCCAGGAAGGGAGGAAGGAAGTTTACCATCTGGGATGGAAAATTTCACAACAATAAATACAGTATATTTGTCAGACAATTTGAAATGTAACAACATAGGTACAGTTTGTGCTTTGTTGAGTTTTGTTTCCTTGTTTTGCACCATGTTCCCAGACCACTGTACGCCGAAATAAAACAGTTGCACAGGACAGATTGATCAATTTTCACTCTTCTTATTCATATTCCATTTGGAAAATTTCACAGCAATTTCTTGCCATCATAAAGCAAATTTATTAGGAGATAAACACTCTCCTAATATTGTGTCAGGGGTACTGGGCAGTGAAAGTACTGTATATAAAATAAAAACTCTTTGTCTATATAAACTATTTCTTTCTGAACAATCCTTTAAAAAGGATTTTGAAAAGGCTGATATCTAAAAAGCAACTGGTGTTCCTTCATCTTTGATTTCAAAGACTCTCATTAAATATATGAGTTTCAAATATGAAGATATACGTGTAATCTTTGGATATCAAAAAAAAAAAAAGTTTACTATGTATTTACAAAGAAGTGTCTGCATTTCAGCTTCTGAATTTGGATTTAGACCAGATCAGCACAAGGACTGCTACAGAAGGCTCTGGATGCTGAGGGAAGATGCACTGGTAATTACTCTCCAAAAGCTGGATAGATAGTAAATTTTCTTAACAAGATATCAATGCTATTGTATATCAGTGGAACAAATACATTTTATGTCAAAGACTAGAAAAATCACTGAGCTGCTGATCTATTTGCTAACAGATGACAGAGAGAGAGAGAGAGCTGTGAGATCAAGGATAACTACAACTGAATGGACAAATGAACACTTAGAATGATTTTCCCCTTGACATAATAAAATTGTTTACTCCCCATCCTAAACTTATACTGCATAATACAATTGTGTATATATATACATACACATAATTATATATACACAGTGTTCAATCTTTTCACTGAAATGTATGATACTTCCTCATAAATGTAGCACATTTTTCATAACTCCAGTTTCACTAAGAGTGCTCATTAATGTTTTTTTTTTAGTAAAGGGAAGAAGATAAAACCACACAATATACTTAAGGCTTAAGAGAGCAGAAACAGCTTCACAGAAATAGCCTTTTTTTTAAATTAAAAGCTGGAATCTCTCTCAGGGTTGTCAGAGATTATATAAAAATTACTCCTTTTACATTCTCCACTGTTCTCATTAACACAATCTGTCAAACAGCTTAAAGGACAAGTTTTAATACAGACCCACACACCACTTATCCTGGCCTCAGAGCAGTATTTAGAACTTCTAAGAAATTGCCTGCATTTTAGAACTGATGTTTGAATTAGCACTGGGTTTAACAAGACGCAGCAAAAACATGTATCTCAAAGTTGAATCCTATTATAATTACAAAGGGCAATTAAAAACAACTACAAGCATGCAGCTCTTTAGCTCCTTGTTCTCCAAAGTCATCCTGGAATTCTATATCAAACATATGATGGATTGTCCGACCTCATTTCAGTGAAGTGGTTCTTTCAGCTTAAATTAATACACATTTTTATTCTACCTGTAACAGAAGGTTGTACAGGTTGTATCAGGTCCGGCTGCTTGAGAGGATTTCCAAAATAGACAAACCACTCTTTTACCAAAGGACAGGTTCCACCTAAAAAAGACAGAATTGGAGCAGTAAGTCAAATGCAAGTATTGACACTACTGTAACAGCTGGAATAAGCTGCGATCAGGATTCTAAATAGAAGGTACTTCTTGATGATTTGTTTGCTCAGCTTTAGAAAAAAACAGGAAAAATTGTTTCAGTATCTTTATGACAAATCATCAGAACAAATAAAAAGAGTTTCAATTATGTACTATAAACATGAGTTTGGACTGGGGAACTGCAACCAAAACTGTAAATACAAGAGTCTGTGGAAAACGTTCTGAAACAGGCTTAGGCCTTCCCACCCCAAGGCAGCTCAGGAAGCTCTGGAGGCATGTGGCATAGCTCAGGGACCTGCATGAGCTACCTCAAGTCTCTCAGCACTGTCATGCTGCCACATATCCAGGCAGAGCTTAATATGATTCACCTCCCAACTTGCCCTGACATTTCCTGTGTCAGGGTTTGAGCCAAAATCTTAATAGGGAGGCCTTGATGGCTATGTAAAAGCTGACAGCAATGGAGTCATCCCACCATCAGATGCAGAACTTTTACAGCCCATTGTTCCAGACGTTTTATCAAGCATAAAGGAATTGTTTATACATAATACTTCAAGTGGCTTTCCTAGTCCCTAACCTCAACCCTGCTCAGTTCCCCTAAAGATGCCCTTAAATTAAAAATTTCACTACAGGAATTGTGTATCTAACTACTTGATGCTTAAAAAAAAACCTAAACAAACCAATCCTCAGAAAACAAATCACGCATTTAAGAATTTCTGAAATGCAGACTATACAATTCACAATAGTCAGCTCAAAATCCTTCCAATGCAAGTCTTCATTAAAAAGAAAAACAAACAAACATAGAATCAGCGCTACTATTGATGGGGCTTTGCATTCTATCCAGATTTTTGCTTATGGTACCCATGTCATAGTGCTCTAAATTTCCTCTCCATAGTTTGTTAAACAGTGTGAATTAAAAAGGTTTAGCTAGTCCTGAGCACTTGGAATAGTGTTTTCAATTTTTTTTTCCTTTCCTTGTCCCTTTCAGGATTTACAGGATTGCATCTCTAATTTCTTCCAGCTCTCAACCAATACTGAAGCCACTATCCTTAAAAATTCCTGCCTTTTATCACCAATTCCAATCTCCCTGAAATTTACTGCACAAGTATTTTTGATGCCATGTTGTGAACCCAAATCAAAAACTTGCCCTAGATTAAAACAAACCAAACAAGTCTTTCCAACACTGTCCTTTCCTTGTCCAGGCAAAAAGGTTTTGTCACATAATTTCCTGATCTCACTCATAGCTCCGTGCTGGAAACAACTGTTGACACGAATGAAAAAGAAGTGTGCTATGGTGAAAGGGCAGAAATTCCTCAGATGTATTTCTAAAGTCAGGGGTAAGAGAAGGGAAAAAGAACACTACAAAATCTGTTTTACAATTTCCTTCCTTCCTTCCTTCCTTCCTTCCTTCCTTCCTTCCTTCCTTCCTTCCTTCCTTCCTTCCTTCCTTCCACCACTTCCTTCCTTCCGCCGCTTTCTTCCTCTCCTTCCTTCCCTTCCTTCCTTCCCAATGGGTCTGCAGCACAAACTCCCAATAAAGGTGAGGGACTGAAGAAACAACACATGGAGTATGAGGGACCGTGTTACACATGACTTGCCATGCTTATATGTTCAAAAACCAATGACATTAAAAACAAAATTTTAAATGCTTACACTAGAGGCGGGGAAAGACAAACTGTACATTCCAATAGCTGAATAATCTCACATCTTGATTACAAATGATTGTCTATGATAATGTTATTTCATGAACAAAACCCTTCCATCAAATAACCCAAAGTCACTTTCAGAAACATTCCGAAGTTTTAACATTCAGTTTTAAGATTTAGTGTGTGGATTACTCTGCTTTATTCAATTTATTCAGCTCACTCAGACTCCTAAATTTTAGCCTGGTTTCTTAAGGAGGCAAACCTAATACAATTAGGACATCTGTCTTGTAATTAATTCATGGATGCACTGCTCTGCTTCAACTAAATCTGCCAAAGGAGAAGTGATTTCAAATAGATTAAAGTCCAAAACATTTTGTGAAACTGAAGACTCAGCTGACAGAGGGATCCTATTAGGGCACCAACTGAAAGAAAGGCAGGAAAGTCAACTTACCTCTTGTATCCAAACAGACTGAATGGCAAATCAATACACAAATAGCCATAGAAGAGCTAGAGATGAGAGAAAAGGTAGATGGCATTTGGGAAGGGCAGGAAGCAATAGGGAATGTGCTTAGGAACACCATATACTGCAGGAGGGAGTTGTCAAGGACATGAGGAGAAGTGAAGATGGAATAAAAAAGCGTGGAAATAGAAAAACTTTGCTGGTGAGGAGCATTGCTCTTTATGAGTTCCACAACTCACAGAAAAACATATCAAAATATGTCTTGATTCTAAATACCAGTGAGAGATTATTTTTGACATCAACCATTGAATTCATGCACAGTAAAAAGGGAATTTGACAGGAACTCTACAGTTTCATTCTTTTAATGTTTGTGAATGTAGGTATAGGACATAGCACCACATCAACTGAGTGCTTTTCATTACTATAGCCCATTAGTAACAGACATATATCACTGTTCACATAAACAACCAAATAAATATAGCTGAAAGCAAGGTCCTGCAAACTGACAGCCCATTAACATACAAAGAACAAAGTGGAGATATGATTTCTAAAAGTCAACCCTCTCTCCATGGAAATGTCTTGGGGAAAAAAACACACTAAGTTTTTAAACTTTTTTCCCCACAATGCACATAAAGAATATCACCAATGAAATGAAAAAAAAATAGCAGTTCCTTTGTTTAAATAAATTCTGAATGACCTGTGAAAGCACTGCTTAGGCAGCATAAGGAAAGCTTCAACTATGTGCAAACCACAAGAGAGTTGGAAAATGTTGCTATGTCTGTTCCTCTATAGCTGCAACAACCCCAACTCCCCAGAGTGGTCACTGGTGATAACTGGCAAAAGTTCTGCTAAGGGACTGTTTTTGACAGTGTCAAAGCAATGATCAGTCTGGCCTGCTAATGTTAGAACTGGGAGTGATGCCAGGACTTCGAGGAGCTGGCCATGGGTTCAGGCTACATTACATAACCTCCTAATTGGCAGTGGACATGCAGGTGCAGGTATTTTCATGGACTGTGTTAGTGCCAAAACCTTCTGGCTTTGTTCTGAACCCTTTGCACACATAAGCAAGCTTGGCTAGCCTATCAGGGTGTATTATTTACTGTTATTCTCCCCTCCCACTTGAATTTTTCCAGAAGTACTTTTTCTCAGAAAGATGCTAAAGTGTTGACAATTTCTATCACTGTATGCAAAATTTCACATATTGATCAGAATGGCTCAATTAACTATAAATGCACTTTTGAAATACAGAGACAACAAATGCCGTGTTGTCAGAATCACCATCAGCCCCCTATTTATTTCTGTAGGGTCCAAAATAAGGCTGTGATTCTCCAGCATTTCCATGAGTAAAGGTACACACACCACACACCAAACTATACCAAAGGCAGTGTTATATAAGCAATTCTTTCAGCAGCTCTGCTACCTTTTACAGGCAGGCACTGATTTGCTCATTCCCACTGCCTGCCATTCCCTCGGGGTGTTTCAGCACAGCTGCTTGTGGCTACACGGAGCCAGATAGGAAAACAGACCAGGTTAGTAACCTGACTACAAAAAAGGCAGGGAAAAGAGACAGAGGCTATTTTCAGTTTCTCAAACTAGGCCACCACACAGCTGCACAAACAGCTGCAACAGCACAACTGAGACGATGTGCAAGGATTGAAATGAGTGGCTGTGCAAGAAAACGATTTAAAGTGGCACTGATAGCAAAAGCAACGCATCCCACTATGGCTACAGGCAAAGTGGCATGGTATGGGCCGATAGCTTCAAAGGATATGACATTCTGCTCATATAGATTTGTTGGTCTCTTAAGCACCCTTGGAAATCACAATCTAGACATTCAGAACTAACACTCTCTTGTTTCAGAGGAGGGCAACCAGTTTACATTTAACCTTTAACTTTACATTTAAGCTTTAACCTGTTCTTACTAAAACCGTAACCACTGCTTTTACTAAATTTTGCCTGCATTGCCAATTAACAGTAAGTAAGCAGACCTGCAAACTGCAAAGAGGTCAGTTTCCAGCATATTTTAATTGACGATATTAAGGAGTAAAAAAGAGGATCACAAACACATGCACGACCACTGCAAACTGGAACAAACATTGTGTAGAGTTAGTCGAGTTAGCTTCAAATGTGCTACATCAGCAGCTATATAATGGTGGCAGACTCCACATGGACTAATTTAATTTGTTGTCTTGTTCCAGTAAACTCTTTTATAGTGCTACTCCAATGTCATTCTACATTATACTACAACCTACAGACAGTGTAGACTTCTTCCCATCCTATCCCTTATCAAATTACAAAAAGCAGTCAACTTGACCTCATCTTGAGGGAAACTGGCAAATTCTACTTTGTAAAGAACAAAGCTTCTTTGTAGTTCTAGCAGTGAATCCATAAAAACTAATGCTTACACATACCTATGCATTCCAATACAGACTGTGACTAATGATCTACACTCTTGACTTAGAAGCAACTATACACTGGAATAAAAAAATAACTCATGAACTACTAGGAAGTGACATGGTTAAAGCAGTTAGAGGCAGACACATGCATTGAAAATGCAGATTTAATAGAGGCACCCATGCAGACACAATCTACCTACCTTTCTGGGGGGGTTAAGGACTGGTTTTCTAAACTATGACTTAGTTTAGAAAATTATCTTTAGAATTGGAAGCCTGAACTGAGAATAAATAACCCATGCTATCTGTGGTTTTATTCTAAAATCACTTCCTTAAAAGAAGACAACTTTCACGTTAAAATTTCATTTTCAATATGACTCTAAATAAACGTTTCTGTATTTCAGTTCTAATCTTCTCTGAGTACTAAACCCAATGTAACACAAATGTTAACCTGCCTACTACCCTGCCATCTTGCAGCAACAGCTGTTAATTAGGAATTTTGTTCTGGGTGTTTCTGAAAACATCAATGAATATCCTGCTGTTTAGATGAATAAGTAAAACCCAACCAAGTTATAATCATCTACAAAATTTGGAGGCAGTACACCAAAAAATGAAAAATGACAGATGTGCATGATTACTGCTGAGATTTTTGTTAGTCTCTCCAAATCGCTATGTAAACTCTGATTCAGTTTTCCTATTATGGCACAACTTCAGCCTCTGGCTGCCGAGGGAAGTCATGTACTTAATTACCTTTTTGCGCCTTTCTAAGCAAATAGTTTGAATATTAGGTTTGATGGCGGTGGACTTTCATCAATAAAATTTAAAGCAATTACCATGGAGAAATCAACACATTCAAAAGAATAAAGTTCAGTACACTTTTAATTTTCAACTCACTGGCTGAAAGACACTGTAAAGATAACACTTAACTAATGGAAGTCTGAAGAACATGAAATTGGTCCAATGATGTGAATAAAGAACTCTCTGTCTTCAAGGAGATGAATGCAAGCACAGATATAAGTACCTGCTACCGAATCTGTTTATACCGCTGGATAAGGCAATCATATTTTCTAGCACTTGGATGAAAGAACTAATAATAGCTGGCAGGACTACTTGCATTTGTATTATTACAGTAATTGTATTTGACTGCTCTGAAAATTGCAGACTTAAAATCAACAGAAGGTAAAACTTTAACAGTGCATTATTGTTCTGTAAAAGTGTATTACAACTCACTAATTCATCCAGAGCCACGCTTGTCCAAGCAACATTAGGTTTCATATACCTTCAAACTTTCAAGAATCTCGTAAAGAGATTGCTCAATCTTTTGATCATTAACAACTTTCACAACTTCCCATTTAGCAAGGAAAAAAACTCAAATTTTTAAAAATCACTTTAAAAGCACTGACATGGAACAGCATGTAGAAAAAGCCCCACAATTTCACTCACACATTTTCTCTTACTACCATAAGAATTACATTTCAGCTGCTCAGAGTTTTTATCCTAAACGCATTTTATATCCTAAATTATGATAGAGCCACTGAAGCAATGAATTCAAGATTTCATATTTCAAAACTGAAAGTATAATGGTGTAAGTAGTTTAATCCTTACCTTTTCCAGATTCCAACAAGATAGAATAAATATGCTGACGAGCAGGGCGGTAGATAAGTGCTTGTCCAGGAATCTCTGTATCATAGTCATCTTCCAAGGAGTTGCTGCACTCAATCTCTCCATGACTTAGGATATTGAAGATCGAATAATTTTCAGATTGGATATGCTGTTCTTTAGCTAGCTGTTCGTTCAAAGAAGGAAGAAGGCATTATCTCCAAAATTAAGAAGAATCAAAAAGTAACAAAATGTATTTACTGTTTGAGGAAATAGATATTTCTCCATCAGTAGAAATGGAGGGAATATCCAGGGAGGGAACAAGTGCTTTTTCAAATAACACCAGTATAGTATGTTTTCAGACATCCATCTTTCTGTGGACAGGAATCCACTGGAAAATCATCATTACCTTTCTTAGTCCCTCCTTCAATTCTTAAAATTTAAGACCTTGAACAACAAAATTTTTCTAGAAAGTAATTATTCTCAAAATTAATTCTGAATTCCAGCATAGCTGCCCTCCTTTGGTCACCTGAAAAAGCATCTTCTTTCTTTACACAGTGAGTGAAGGCAAAACAAAATGCAAACTTTCAATTCTATTGCAAGATGAACTATATAAGACAGCTGTATTTCTTTCCTGACCTGACTTGGTGTAAGCTTACATTCTGGTAAAATTAGAATACTTAATTTCACCACACTTTTACTTTGCAATAGTTCTCCACCATGAAAAGAAATGCCATCTACTCTAGTGAGGAAAACCAGGCCTGCAGGCATGTTGCTGAAAAGCAGAATTAACAGCATCACCCAGGCTGGACATTAATCATGCACTGGATGCAGACACATCTGGCTACAGCAGCTGGCTACAAGCAACCTCAGTACCAGCAGGGTCTGCTGGTCTGGAACAGCCTAGATGAGAAAGCAACAAGGATGCTCTCAGCATCATTCTGTGCTCATCAGCCCAGAATTCCCACCAGTAACACTGGCCATCTGTATTGGCCAAGTGCACAGACAGACAGACTTTCTACTTCACAACCCCAGACCAAAACTCAGGGTGTTCAAACAGCTGAGCAGAGTGAACACTTCCATGGGGTGCCACTAACAAATTCTCCAGAACCTGCGCTATATGGTGAGTAGGCACTGACGTTTCTCTGCTCTGCATTCCCTGCATGTGTCATGCTAGTTGTACTGTTTGGGTTGTGCCATCCACCTGCAGCTACCACAGATTCTTTCACCAGGAGTTACTGGACCACTGGCCAGAAACAAATTCACTATTTCTGCAGCATTCCAGTATATGCAAACCCGGGAACTCAGCAGCATGTCAAAGCTGTAGTCATTCACTAGGTAATTAGTGATCAAAACTAATTCTACTAAAATGTCATACTTTCTATGCACAGTGCAAATCAACAGAGCACTTATACAATATATTAAAGGTTTCCCTGCAAGAAATACTTCAATATTCCTAATATGTGTAAACAATGTAATCCCCCAAGTATACTTTTGTATAAAATAAAAAGAGAGCATCAAGTATTTCTAAGAATGATTTTAATGAAGCCCTGAACTATTGCACAGAAACCAGCCACAGATGAGACCATCAACAATGCTAGTTTATTGCAATTTGTCAATAATCTACACTCCCTTATGTACTGAAAAAACTATAAGCTGATTTCAAAAGTGTTGCTGCATTCAATGTATTCACTGTATTCAATGTATTCAATGTCTGTATCTTGAAAAATATTTCTGATTCATACCTACAATCAGCTAGAAAGTTATGCTCTTCTGAGAGAAACAGTAACATGAAACTATGCCCTCATGGTGGGAATTGAGCTTTGTGTGCCATTTACATGAAGTTCAGACAATGTGCAAGGTAAGCAGAAATACATATGGATTTCAAATATGAAGCAAAGCACACACATTACATATACAAATATTTGAACACTTGTAACAAAAACAAAAGAGAAATTAACATGTCTAACATTTTGACTGTAATTTCCTTGGCCCAGGGACTGGCTTCATGTAGGATTCTTGCAGCAACAGGGAAGCGTTCTTCAATGGAGTTTCTAAACATTATTATTTTATTAGAGCAGTAGCTCAGCATGATGCTTCAGAACTTCAGTCCTTCAAATTAAAGACCAAGCCAAGAAATAATGACCATTTGTCATAAAGACCACATAGTACATTCTCTTAAGGAATAAGGATATTGCCACTATTGTCCTGGCCATAATCCAACCTAGATAATTGCATTCTGGCTGTTTTTCCCTTGCACTTCAAGCAGAAAGAGATTTTTCAACACCTTATTATGATGTACGACTGCTGATTTTTAAAAATACCTTCTATTTAACTACAACAGTCAAAAGTGATATGTACTGTATCTATGTGTGGTGAATATAAAAACCAAAATACATCTACAGTTTAGCTGAAATGAGCATTGCATAGGTTACAATGCAGTTATGAAATGTTTTATAGTATTTTTAGAAAGAAAAATGTAAATTATATTGTTACTTTAGAGTAATATGAGGAAACAGAAAAATAGTTTTAAAAAAATGCTCAAGATAAGCAAGAGAAAGAAAAAAAAAAACTTCGGTGTTTGAAGTCTATAAGGACCTAATAAAATAGGGAGTAACAGATGGCTAATATAGGGTCTAAAATACACTTCCTTGTATAGATTTTTTAAAAAAATCTCAATATGTTATCTTAATTGCCACGAATTGACAGAATTGTACTCTAGACTTACTACTATACCATAAACTCTGATGCAAGGTAGCACATTTTCTATTAGCCAGGTACACCACCCTAAGCTAATATATCCAATTTCCCAGAGTGACTCAATCTGACATACCATATCTCACCCCAACACCAGTGCATCCCTGTCCATGTGGGATGCCATAACTAAAACTTGCTACTGCAGCCCTGCCCTTTGGGAATTACTAAACCCATTGAAGTTTTTTTTGGGTCATTCAGGGAGAATGAAAATAAGGGTAATTTATCCTGAACCAAAAAGACAAAATACAGACGTATTGCATTTGACACTGTCCTGTATAATATCCTTGTCCCTGAACTGGAGAAGCATGGATTTCACAGATGGTTGCACTGAAAGAGCTGTGATCAATGGCTCGATGTGCAAGGGAAGGCCAGTGAAAGAGGGGTCCTCGGGAGTCAGTACTGGGACCAGCAGAGTTCAACATCTGTGTCAGGAACATGGACAGCGGGATCGAGTGCTCCCTCGGCAAGGCTGCTGGTGACACCAGGCTATGTGGTGCCATCAGCATGGAGGGAAAAGGATCCATCCAGAGGAATGCAGACAGGTGGGCCTGTGCAAACCTCATCAATTTCAACAGGACTGAGTACAAGGTCCTGCACTTGGGTTGCAGCAATCCTGACCACAAATACAGGCTGGATGGAGAATGGATTGAGAGCAGCTCTAAGAAGGGCTTTAGGGTGTTGCTGAATAAGCTGCTTGACCTATGAGCTTGACCAGCAATGTGCGCTCCCAACCCAGAAAGCCAGCTGAACTCTGGGCTGCATGCAAGACAGTGTGCCCAGCAGGGCAAGGAAGGGGATTCTTCCTGTCTACTCTGCTCTGGTGACACCCTACCTGGAGTGTTGTGTCCAGCTCTGACATCCCCAGCACAGGAAGGACTTTGACCTGTTGGAGTGAGTCCAGAGGACTGCAAAGATGATCAGAGGGCTATGATCACCTCTGCTATGAAGACAGGCTGAGAGAGCTGGGATTGTGTAACTGGAGAAGAGAAGGCTCTGGAGACACCTTAGAGCAGCCTTCAAACACCTAAAGGGGGCTGCAAAAGAGCTGGAGAGGGACTTTTCAAAAGGGTGTGCAGTGACAGGATGAGGGGAAATGGATTTAAACCAACACAAAGTAGGTTTAGATTAGGTATAGGAAGAAGCCCTTTGCAGTGAAGGTGGTGAGGCACTGGCTTAGGTTGACAAGAGAGAAGTTGGATCATCCCTGGAAGTATTCAAGGCCAGGTTGGATAGGGCTCTAAGTAACCTGGTCTAGTGGAAGTCTCCCTGCTCAGGGCAGGAGTTTGGAACTAGGTTATCTTTAGTCCCAAGCCCAACTATTCTATGACTCTATGACATGATTCTGTAGGAGTTTCCACGTCTCCACCACAAGCAATTTCAACTTCTGCATTCTTAGCACAGCTACCTTTGATACCTCCATTGCAAACCACAGTCAAGCAGATCACTGACCAGCTTATGGTTGACCTGTGGGTTCTCAAAGTAAAAACCAAGTCAATACACAAATCATATTAACATGGGAAATCATATAGTACATGGGAAGTACAATTCTGTGCCCAGCTGCTGGCCTATACAGGAGCTGCTCCCTATTATATGATCTACCTGACATTACAAAAAGAGAGAAACCTCTTTTCATTAAATATGCTGCATCTGTGTTCATATTAATGCATGCAATAGTCGTAACTGGGGCTCTACTTAACAGACAAAAGATTTTTGCACAAGCAAATTTAAATCAATAGGATTGATGTAACTTCCACTAACTAGTCATGACCATAAAGTGATCATTAAGCTTTAAAAAACAAGTTACCTGAAAGACTTCTTTATCTTGACAGAGAGCTGATTGTTGTTGAAGGGACAACATTTGACAATTTGTTTCATTGGGAGGAACCCATGGAGACTGCTGCCCAGGCAAAAGATAGGAGTTCACTCCTCTGCAAAGCAATGTCTTGTCTGATCCCAGAGGTAGAATCTCTTCCAAGTGTTTCAGGCTGCTGTACGAGCATGGAATTTTTGAGATGTAATTTGCTACAGACAGCAGTATGTTTGTTCTTCTGTTGTAGCTATTATTCCTGTGGGGACTGGTGGTTAAACATTTGTGCCAAAAGCCTTCCAACATGCTTTCTGGAACAACATCATTTCCAAGCAAGCACGCAAAGAGAGGAAGGTGTGCCAAACTAATACCCAGCACATGGCAAAGAACTTCTCGAGAGTACATAACAGTGACCAGTCTGTCCAAACAGAGGTTCTCAATGGAAAAGTAGGGACATGTGTTATAGATGAGATAGTCACTATCTTGCCCCAGAATTCCTATACAGTTGTGCTGCAAACCATATGCAGCCACCTCAAAGTCTGCCTCTTGTAATGTGCAAACTGTTTTTTGTCCGAGTGATTTCAGGGCATAACGTGTAAAAGTAGGCAGAGCTGAAGGAAGAACAAACATTTCTCTCCCTGGCTGTTTCCTGTGAGTCTTGATAAACTGAAATAATCTGGCTATTTCCTCAGTATTCTTCATCCTCCGTTTGATCCACTCATCTCTCTTTTTCTCTTCTACCACCCCGTCGAAGTAAAACACCAACTTGATACCAGCTGCCATAAAAGCACTGATAAAATCCTCTAAAATGGCAAGGTACTCCCGCCACTGGCCACCGCACACCCAGGATTCTGGTGTGTACCAGCGTCTAACGCAACTCATGGCATCTACCACGATAACAGGTGGGCAACCAGGATGATCAATGCGATGCTTTTCTGCCATTTCTCTCAGATCTACTGTTTGGCATGCCTCAGGGCAAACTCTTGCCACAAATCCCTGCAAGCCTCTAACACCCATGGCTGATGTCCAAAACTCACAGCAGTCTGAAAGAAGAAAAATAAAAACAACGTTCTAAGATGCAATACTGGAAAACAGTGAAATTCTACAATGACATTTTTTAAAGCTGCTTGGAAACAAACTTATTTTTCTGCTTTTGCTGATAGTTCATTGCCGTATCCCACTTTTAACAATTTGAAACAGTTTGCTTCCCCTCTGCAAACCGAACATAAGTACTCATTCATTTTCCCTTCTACCTCTGGTTTTCGTATCAGTGAAAAATAAAAGTATCAAGAGATTCTCGTAAGTATGACGGAACAAAATTCACAGAAATCATTAATGAGTAAGGCTGGAAGGAGCCACAAGTCCAACCTCTCTGCTCCAGCAGGACCATCCTAGAGCACACAGCACATGATTGAGTTTAGACAGCTCTTGAGTATCTCCAGTGAGGGAGATTTCAGGTTAATAGCATGTATTGAAATACACAATACTAGAAAATAAAGGATAGATTTTGTTTTTTTATTAAGAAATATACATGCTGATGGTATTCAAAAGGTAAAGAAAGGACGGTGAGTTTACAGAGTATTGTGAATTTTAAAAGCATTCCCGAAATCTATCAGTTAAAGACAGTTCTGAATACCACCCTCTTTAACCACAGTTTGGTTCCGAAGGGGTCTTTAGGACCTCTCAGGATGCGGCGGGCGCTGCGCGCAGCCCCGGCAGGGCCGAGCCCCGAGCCCCGGGATCCGTGCGGCTCCCGAGCCCGGGCCGGGCCCGTGAGGGAGCGCTGGGGCCGCTGGCAGCGGCGGCTGTCTCCGCCCGCGGGCTGCGCTCGCTCGGCTTTGTACGGCCGCAACGGGGCCGGAGGGGCCATTGTGCCCCCGAACAAACCCGGCCGGCACGGAGGGACGGGGTTTCGGGGGACACGAAAGCGTCGCGCACCGAAATCGCTTCAAACCCCCCCGAGTCGCCCTTGAGAGATTTATGTTCCCCCGGGCAGCGCGACCTTTGGCAGGGGGCGGGTTCGCTTTGTCGTGCCCGACGCTTGCCAGCGGAGGAGAACCCCCGTTGTCCCCGGGCCGCACATCCTGGGATAACGCCCTGGGTGCGGGCCGGGAGCGAGACCCGCTCGCAGCCCGCCGGCAACAGGTGGGACCTGAATAACTTCACTCCCTTTCCCGGAGGGGGAAGAGGGACACGGGAGAGCCCATGGGAAGATTAGATCAGATGTTATTGCCGGTGAAAAATTAAAGAGAGCGGTGCTCTGGGGAGTGCAGATTAATATATTTGGTGACTCCGAGTGCACAAAGCCTCACCATTGTGGCTGTGTCTGAATGCCTGTGAATAGGATGGAGCATATGTGGCCTGTCACCGCAGGTGCCCACATCTGTTCGTCTCCAGGCAGATGCTCTCAGAAAAGGGGGGAGCATTTCCAAAAGCTCAGGCCCGCCCCATCCATACCCATCCTCTTTCTCTAATCACCTTCTGCAGAGTAGTTTTTGCCTGCACCTTCTCTTACCCCCTGCCTACCCTGAACGCAGAGAAATGAAGAAAGAAATAAAACCTGCACAAATTGGAAGTGGCTTGGAAAGCTCTGGAAGCATGTAATCAAACTGCTGCCCCCTCTCCTCCCCCAGAGTTTAGTAGCAACAAGTTTTGTGCTGCAGCCAGCATACAGTGCACAAGATGCACACACTGTGCAGAGGGGGGGAACGCAAAAACCCTTCAAGCATGAAATGCAACATAGTACAGCAGCACTCTGTGCTGTCACAGGGCTCTAGAGAGTGACATGTGCTGGAGTGGTGGTTTGCAGCTACTATTTATAGTTATGGCTTGAGATGATGATTAATAATGCTGGACAAAAGAGGGAGTTTTCCTGCAAGAACTGGCAGAGACGGTGAATATTGCTACTGAAGTTAGTAGCAGAACAGCATCTTTCCAGCCATCCAGCAGAATCTTGCAGCTGCAATGCAGAATGTTTTTTGGGGTGTGCCATCACATTTTTTATCACCTGTACATGATCTGAGTCCTAGTGCTCACCCTCCCTTTGTGACACTGCTGCCAAGACAAGCCAGGCCTCAGCGCTGCATGGCCTTGCTTGACAGGACAAATGGGGTGCTGGGGCGCAGGATAAATATCAGGATCAAGGGATATTTAATGTGGTAAGGCACTTAAGGTTTTCTAGTTCAAATGTGTTCTGTAGCTTCTGGTGTGGTGAAGACCTCGAATATCCTACTGGCAAAGATGCCAGGACTCCAAATGCAAGACCGAGGTGCTCCCAAGGGGGTACGGGCAGGAAGAGCATTTGAAACTGCGTGTTCCAGAGCAGGGGCAGGGGAAGGAATGGGACCTGCCCAGCTCAGGGCACCCACAGGAGGTTTCTGGAAAAGTTATGATCCAGACCGGGGTGGGGGGAACCCGAGGGCTAAGGGAGGGCAAGGTGGGGGGAAACCTTATTTCCCCGAACCCCTTTTCTCCTGTTGTTTCCTGGGGGGTCCCGTGGTTCTGGCCCTCTGGGCGGAGGTAAGCAGCCCTTCATCCTTCCGACTTTGGGAGCAATGACAGCTCACGCACACGAGTGATTAATTTTATCCCTCTTAGTTTCCCACAAGCTAAATCCCGTCGGAAGCAAGCCAGGGAGCAAACCCAAACAAACAAGTAGCGCAGAGAAACGGGGCCGGGGCGGGGGGAGGGGGTATCTGGCTTTCTCCTCGTGTGCAATCAGTAAAACACATATAGGGGCCACTTCGGGATTTGCCCAGGGAAGGGTTGGAGAGCAGCTGGCTGCGGTAATCTCCTCGGGAGACAAAGGAATGCCCCGTCCCAGGATCACAGGTAAACACACAACCATTGTAATGAAAATGAGGGGCTAGGATAGGGCCGGAGCAGATGATTTGCGATTTCAAAAAGGGGGCTGGGGGGAAGGGAGGACCCGGAGCTGCTTATCTATCATCTGGCCTCGCTGTGTGCCAGCTGAGCCACGCGACTGCCCTTTCTTATTCTAATCAGCACATGCCTTTGCAACTTTGGGCTAACCTACACGCTAAACTTCTTAATGCTCCTCCCCGCACACGGCAAGGGCGGCGGAGCGCCCCTGCGGCACCGCGGGCCCTCGGCGCTCGTCACGCACCCGCCTCGGGTCGGGGCGCACGGCGGCGGGGCCCGGGGCAGCGCCAGCACCCCCGGTCACGTCGCCGAGCCTGGGGCAAGCGGGGGAGCCAGAGCCCCGGCCCAGCGACACCCTGCCTGCCCTCCCCCCGCTGCCCATCCCCTCCCGCCCCTCCTGGCCCGGCCCGGCCCGGCCCGGCCCGGAGGAACAGGTGAAGGGGGCGTGCGGCGGTGGGGCAGCCGTGCACACATACCTCCGTAGGGACTATAGATCTAATTAAAATATTATGCACAGTCGGCTACACATAGCTCCACACGTTCACGTCCCTCCGCCGACGCACCGTTCGCCATATGCCCGGAGCCCTCCGTCCCGGGAAAAATCAGTGTTGCACGCCAGCGATGGCAGCGCGTCGCCCTAATTAATACACGCACATATCCCACCCACCCCCCTTTTTAAGTGACTTTTCCCATAATCTGGCTCGCTTAGAAATAAAAGCTGCGGCTGATGTGGGGAGTTCTTGGCCGCGCTCGTCCGCGGCGCGACCGTAAATACTGGCCGGAGCAGAAGAGGGGGGTCGGCGTTGCGGGAAGGGTATCAATTAGGGGCAGGGAGGGAGAGCACAATACCCCACCGGCCCCAGCGAGCCGCTGGCAGGCGGGGCCGGGCCCGCCGCGTCCCGGCCGTGCGGGGTCACCGCGCCCTGGCGGGGCCCCGCTTCCCGCGCCCGCCCCCGGGGGTCCCGCCGCCAGCTCACTCGGCGGGGCGGGTGCGGCCACGCAGGACGTCGGGCGGGACGGGACGAGACGGGAAGGGACCGGGCGGGCGGCCGTGCCCGGCAGCGGGGGCCCGCAGCGGTGCGCGGGCACGGCGAACAGCGCGGGGGCGGCGGGGGGCGGCGGGCGAGCGCGGTGCGGAGACACGCGGTTGGGAGCGAAAAAGCGCCATTTGGTTGGGAGCAGATGGCTGGCTGGGGGGCTGATCGCGTCTAAAGGCGTGTCATCCCCCTTCAGCGAGAATCCCTAAGGGCTCCCCTTGTCTTCGAAATCAATGAAAATTAAAGTGCAGAGAATGGATGAATAGTTAGACCTCGAGTCCCTCCTTTGTTCGCCTCAGCTACTGGTGGGCAGGAGTTAAACTACAACAGCCTCCTATAGAAACACTTAAGTTAAACAGTCTCCCCGTTAGTCCAGCATCTGAAAGAGAGAGGGAGCGGGGGGAAAAAAGCAGAAAAAGGAGCTTTCTGCTTGATTTCCCCAATACAGAATCGCGTGGCATAAATTAAGCCAGAGAAGAATGAGCGCCGTGGGCAGGATCCTGCCGGCTCTCACGGCGCCTTTCAGTCACGCTCAGCAGCGGTAATCGAGAAATCTGTGCCACGTCAATTTAACAAATACCCGGTACCGAAGGGGGGTTGTTAAGGATCTGGGGGCAAGTTTTTTCGGTTTTTTTTTTTTTTTTTTTTTTTTTTTTCTATCGCTAGGTTAAAGCCCTCGCGCGTGTAACTTTTTATTTCCAGTTTTTTAAGCAAGGAGATGCTAATGGACCAACTTTCTATCTCTCGTAGATTAAAAGATCCGCGTTGATATATCACTTCTCGCCTCCACCGACGGGCCACCACCCCAATTTCAAGAAAGATATTGCCGCTCCCCCCCGCCCCCCCCCCCGCCCCACTCGCTTAGTAAACCTCATACGAAGTGATGTTTTCCCCCTCTCTCTCTTTTTCCCGGGGATAACGCCGCAGCAAAGTTTGCGAAGCAGCGACAAGCCACTTGAAAAGATGTTGACGCTAGGTGGCAAAAGTAATGTGCAGTGAAAACCGGCGCTGGTGCGGGATGCGCGCCCCCGCTCCCCGTGCTGAGGCTGGGCACGGCGGGGGCGGGCGGCCGGGCCTCCGGGGATCCGCCGCTCGCTCCCTCCTGGGCCGCCTTCCCTACGTCCTCGCACTATGCCTGCGGGATTGCTGGTCCCTTCTCTGCCCAGACACAGCTCCCGGGTAAAAAACAAACAAACAAACAAACAAAAAAAACCCCACAAAAACCAAAACCTAAAAACAACAACAACAAAAAACCAAACACAAACATTCCTGTACATTTTAAACTTTTGCTAATGCGTCGAGGGGCAGGAAGAGGAGAGAGGAAGAGCGCCTGGATGTAGATGGCTCGTTCGACTACAATTAGATGTAAAGGACGCACGTTGAGTGGCAAAACGTTGCAAAGATCTGGACTTGCACCAAGATGCTTGTACCAAGGGTTGGAGTAGGTGGCCTGGGTTTGGGGCAGGTGCCACAAACCCCTCGTAAATGAATGTGGGCAGCTACAGTCCTGGAACAGTCAAGAAGAGCTGGGCTGAATGAACTCATTAGTGATTTTCTTTTAATTGGTATTACTCAATGCTTTTACTTTAAGAAGTCTTTAAGATTTTTTTTTTCCTAGCACATTGTAAGATAATTTGTGATTAAGACATCTGCTTCAATGGAAGCCACATTTTGCCATGCAAATGCACGTTTCAACCCAATAAAGTCGCCATAATAAGGCTTTTAGCACGGCATACCTACAGTGAGGTTATTGTAGCCAAATCCTCTCCTTTCGCACACAAGCTTAATCTGTGCTGAAATGA